TTGTCACGCCCCGAACTAGTCCCGACTGGAACTAGCCCGTGACGCTCCAAAATTAACCTGTTAATCGATACCAGTCCCAGGAAACAGTGCTGGTATCACAGGGAGACAGAATATCACAGCAACAGAGGCCTCTTTATTATAGAGTAGGAGTACAGTCATGTTGGGCTGCGGACAGATCCCGAGCTCACAACTGCATTACAAAAGGGAAACGGAAGCCAGGACTTGGACCAAACAACACAGGCGCGACTTGGGAACTAGGCCGAAACCCTAAAACTCATCGTAGCCGGCTTGCTCCTGGAAGAACTCCTCATCAGCAGGATCCGCTTCATCTTCTTCAGCAACTGGGGGAGGGATTATTTATATAGAGCAAGGGTGAGTACGGGAGTACTTAGCAAGCCATGGGAATTAAGTGTTTAATGCAGGCTTCAAGGAAAGGCTGTTGTTTTCGTAATTGATTTTATTTGAACTCTTTCTAAAAACATCTAGGTGAGTGCTTCTCAAACGACACGGATGAGATGGTGCGTCTCGTCCGGTCGGAGTATGTGCAATGTATCAGTCTTTAGATTTTGAAACAAGGTTGGCACCCGGCCAACAGCTTTTCAAACGGCCACCCGGGCCAACAACTTTTTAAACGGCCACCCGGGCCTAGTTGATCCCGTCAGCTGCAGATTTTTTTCAAACATCGAACCCCTTTTCACAACAGCAATTTCACAAGCAGTAGTCAAACAAAACTACGCTAGGAATCACCTCACATCCGCCCATGACCGTGGGCACGGCTGTTCGAACAGTTTGTTAACCTCTGCAGAGGGGGTACACTTTACCCACATGACATTACTAACCCGGATCATCCAGCCCGTGGGGATCAGCCACGTCGGGAGACCTCCAAGCTTTCATGACAAGGCATTTCGAAAGCCGATACAGGTTTACCATATGCCGACGAGAGGGGTCCCAGACCAACAACAGGTTAGGTCCCAGACCATACTGTGCCAGGAAGCCCAGGGGTCCTCCCCGACACCACCCCGGCGAATCCACATGTCTCTCGGCATCAAGGCTCCCCTGATAAGCTAATTACTCAACCAGGGGTGTCCCATTCCACCCATGTGGTCGTACTTGTCTTATATTTGGATGAAATTCCAAGGAATCGGTCCTTAAGTGCGAGAGCGGGAAAACCGTACACCCGGTACGTTCCCCGATCCGCGGTTTTGGAAATTCATTTAGTTCACAAGCACCGACCCAGGTGTCGGGTTTTTCCAAGACTTTTGTAAAACTCCAGTTTTACCCAAGTTGTTATTCAGATTTTAAGTTTGAAGGCGTCCGTCGATACTCGCACAGGGTGCACGAATATCGAGACGCAACTAGATGGTTACAAGGGGACAAGATATAGCAATTAACAAAGGAAGGATCAAATACGACAAATTAGGTAGGTCCGCCAATCTGCCTTGCAGACGGGACAAACAGATTAAGTGCGATCCTATCAATGCATAATATTTTTCAAGCAACATAATTAAATTTCAAATATAGGCTCAAGATGTTCAAAGGTGGCTTGCCTTGCTCGAGATCTGGAGCTTGATCCTCGAAATCTTCGCACTGCGGGTCTTCGGGCTCCGAAACTACACGCGAAACGGGACAACTCAACAAACGGCGAAAAATAAAGCCCTATTAATGACCTCTAAGCATGCCATTAGAAAGATCTCGAGATTTGAGGAATTTTGGAAGTTGAACGGAGTCAAACGGATTTACGGTTAGGAAGATATTGAATTTCTAAGATTATTGGATTTTTGGTCTGAAGGAAAAGGATTTAATTAAATCCTTTTGGAAAAGAAAAGAAAAGAAAAGAAAAGAGGGAGGGATTATAGACTTTTCCTCGGGCGGCTAAGGCGCGGCCCAAGGGAAATGGGGTGGCTCGGCCGAGCTTAACGGGCCGGCCGGCCCAAGAAGGCGACCCAGAGCGGCCCAAGACGCGTGCGCGCGGAGGGAGGAGAGAGAGTCCGGTGGACCGGGCTCACCACCCGCGGTCCCGGGCGGGACCCGCTTGTCAGCGGCTCAGCTCACCGTGCGGAGGGAGTACGCGGCTCATGCGCGCGGGCGGGGGAGGGACGCGGTGCACGCGCGCGGTTCGCGGAGGACGCGGATGCGGCGGGCCCACGCACAGCCTCACGGTTCGCGGTGGAACGCGCGCACGGGGAGGGACTGACCGGGGTCGGCTCGACCCGGTCTAGGCTGAGCTGGCGCCGACGTGGCGCCTACGTGGCGGCCACGTGGGCTAGCGGGAGGTAGACGACGACCCGGCCGCGAATGGACGGCGGGCGGCGGCGGCGAGCGGCGGAGCGAACCACGGCGATACGGGCAAAAGCGAGCACACCGGGTGGTTGCATGTGACAAGGGGAGACGAGCCAACGGCTCGGATTCGCCGGAGGGAGCTTGACGGCGGCGAATCGCGGCGACGACAACCGGCGGGGAGGGAAGAGGGAAACGGCGACGAGGCCACGAGGGGTCGATTCCCGGCGGTGAGAGCATCCACTCGGCCACGGGAATCCGATGCTAGCGTCGGATTGGGCGGAGCTACGCCGAGCGAGGCTGGCGACGTGCGGGTGCTACGGAGCTCGAGCGGCGACGGCGGCGAGCACACGGCGAGCGACGGCAACGGTCGGGGCGGCGCCGGCTAACTACGGGGAGGCTACTCAAGCTACTACCGAAAGCTAGGGGGAGGATATGGAGCGAGGAGGAAGAACGGAGGGAGGCATCACCGAGAAGAGGAGGGGCGCTGTGACGAGAGGCCGACGGCGCGGGAGTAATCTCTACGGCCTTGGGCCGGGAAAGAGGAAGGAGAGGGCGCGGCCGAAGTCCCCTGCCGCGTCCTCGAACGCACCGGCTCTCCCGGCGCTTGGCGTTGGACGGCGGAGGCGAGACAGAGCACGGGGGCGGCAGCTATGGCGAGGAGGCGAAAACGAGGGAGATTGGAGGGGAAGGAGCTGGGGTTTAAAGGGGGCGGCAATGTCGGTTTGGGAACCGACTTAGGGCGGTCAAAGGCGCGAGCTGGCGCTCGGCGGTCGCGGCCAAAGCGGCGACAGGGAGGATGACGCCAGCGAGGAGGAAAAGGGGAAAAGGAGGGGGAGAAAGGGGGCTTGCCCCTTTGCCGATTTGGGAAAAAGGAGGAGGGGAGCGGGGGCGTCGCGGCAGAGAGAGGAGGGGCGCTGCCTCCGTCCCTTGGCGGCTTGCGCGCGGAGTGGCGGGGGCCGGGCGGTGACGACGGCGATGACGGCGGGCGGTTTGGAGCGGCGCGTCGACACGGGCGACAGACGCGGCAGGCGCTGACGACGGTGGCGACCAGGCGGTCGGCCACTCGGCACGTGCGCGCGGCAGGGCAGCGGGGCCGGGCGGCGACCACGCGGGCGTGCGCGCGAACAACGGCGCGCGGGGAGCGGCAGCGAGGGAGCGGAAAGGAGGGCTCGGCTCGGCGCGGGCGGCTCTCGCGCTCGCGCGCGGGCAGAGCGGAGGAGGAGGGAGGCGCTCGGCGCGGCGGCGCGGCTCACGCGCTTGCGCGCGGCGCGCGAGGGAGGGGCGCTTGGCGCGGCGACGCGCGCTCCCGCGCGCGGCGCGGCGCGGGGCGGAGGGAGAGAGGGAGAGAGAGAGGGAGCCGGGAGGGAGGGGGAGATGGGCCGGGGAGAGGGGAAGATGGGCCGAGCGAAATTCGGCCCGTCGACCCCAGGGGAGGCAAAATAGACTTTTGCGGAGGAATTTGATTTGGAAGGATTGGATTCGGAATTGGACTCGGCGATAGATCGGGGATTGACATCTTGAGATGGCACGGACACTAGGCAACAAGCAAAGAAACAGATTTCGCAATTAGGGTTTTTAAGAGATAATTTTCCCGCTAGGCGCCACGACGGAACGGGCGCTACATACCCTCGATACGTGTTCAGCATATTGCACATATTTGATCTGTTCATGCTTTACTGTCTAGTTTACATGTGTAGATCTAATGATGCGTTTATACTAGTTTATATCAGCAATGTCATGATTTATTTATGGAATAAATTAAATTATTATGTGCTTATAAATTCAACATATGGCTTGTTGGGCTTTAAAGGAGGCCCATAACGTTAATGCTGATTAAAGTTTAGTATAATCTATGGTTTAGATAATGCAATTTATTAAATCAACGGTTGTATCTTTCTAATTTTGACAAATAGACATACATTCACAAAGTATGAATAATTCTGCACCAATCACCCAACTGCATTGTAGATCGTCTCAACAAGAGAAATTGCATTGGCCAGGAAATATAAACTGTATCTTTGGTCACACTCCGAAGACCCTGATCATATTTTTTTTCAATTTCTCTTATTAATTAATTAATTAGCTAGGTTTGGATGGGGCCGTCTTAAAGAAAACATTGGCTGGCAGCACATTCCTTTTTCCATGCTGGACTTAGAGAGTTCCTAGCTTCAAGCCTTCAACTGGCTGCAGGATACTTTTCTTTGGTGTAGGCTACAATAGTTTTGTCTCCGCTATGTAGCAACTAACAAACTCCTTCTATATTTGCTTTTGCTTTCTATTAAAGGAGGAACCTGCTGGTGGCCCTCTTTCTCAAAACTAAAAAGCAAAAACAAATTCTATTTATACAAAAGCACGGAGCAATGAAACTTCCACCCTTTATAATGAACACTTCAAATTGCCAACAAAGGTTCAATTTAAGAGTAGTTTTAAGGTCATGGCCACATTTTTTAGTGTTAATTAATTTATGGTACCTTAACACTAAAGGAAATACCGAAGGAATCCATATTTTCAGTACAAAATATAATACATCTCGGTGCCTCTAAAAGACTATAAAAAAATCTCTCAACTAAAACAACATAAATACATAGTAATAATTGCAGTATTCAGCACACATCTAAAAAGCAGTTTGACAACAGATCTTAGGAGCTTTAAGCCCATGATCCCCCAAGTTTTCTCTCCAATCTCCATTCCTTTCTTCCGGTAACAAATGGACCCAGGTGCTTTTCTTCTCTTTAGCATCAGTCCCTTGCTTGTTTGCAGTGCCAAGCTTGGGTGCTATACCTAACTTTGGTGCTGGGTGTGGCATTGCTACCAAATTGCTCTCTCTTCTCTTGGTATCGGCACAAATGCAATCACGAGAGAACGCCGAGGAGAGGAGAGCAAAGCCATGGAGGCCACGGCGGTGAGCATTGGCAGGTCCGTGCTGAAGGGAGCTCTTGGCTTCGCCAAATCCACCTTGGTGGAGGAGGTTTCCCTGCAGCTCGGCGTCCAGCGCGACCAGGCGTTCATCAGGGACGAGCTGGAGATGATGAACTCCTTCCTGATGGCCGCCAATGATGAGAAAGATGACAACAAGGTGGTAAGGACCTGGGTGAAGCAGGTCCGCGACGTGGCCTACGACGTCGAGGACTGCCTCCAGGACTTGGCCGTCCGCTTGGGGAGGAAGAGTTCATCCTGGTGGCTCAGCCCTCACACGCTGTGGGAGCGGCGCCGCATCGCCAAGCAGATGAAGGAGCTGAGGGGCAAGGTTGAGGATGTGAGCCAGAGGAACATGCGTTACCAACTCATCAAGGGCTCCAAGCCTACCGTAGCTACCAATGTCGCACCCAGCAGCACTGCCCGTGCGACCATGTCTGGCGTGCATGAAGAACGGTGGCAGCATGACAAGGCAGTAGCTGGTCTGGTTCGGCTGGTCATCAAAACCAAAGTCGATGAACTTAGAGTGATTGCGGTGTGGGGAACGAGTGGTGATATCAGGGAAATGTCCATCGTTGGAGGGGCCTATGATCATCTCAAGAGAAGCAACAAGTTTGAGTGCTGTGCCTGGGTTAATTTGATGCATCCTCTGAACCCAACAAAGCTCCTGCAAACCATTGTTAGGCAATTCTATGTAAGATCTCTTCAGGAGGCTGGCAAAGCAACTCCGTCGTGTCAAATTCTGAGTAGCATGCTGATAAAGGAAGATCATTTGAACGATGAGTTCAATGAATATTTGAGTGACAAGTGCTACCTCGTTATGCTTAATGACCTATCAACCGCTGAAGAATGGAAGCAAATAAAAATGCTCTTCCCAGACAACAAGAAAGGGAGCCGAATCATAGTGTTCACACAACATGTTGAAGTTGCAAGCTTTTGTGCTAGGACCGAGGAGGTGGCACCCGAGCAAATGCAGCTGTTTGCTGATCAGACTCTTTATGCTTTTCGCTGTAAGGTACTCCATCCGTTCCAAAATGATCATCATATAGTTTTTTTTAGGTTATTTCTAAATAATTATCATATTTATATTCATTCATTATGTATATTCGTTATTTGTTCATTGGAGTAAATGGATATTGATGCATGTATCAGTGCACACAAGTATTTATAACCCACATGCAATATCTTGATTTGCTATTGGCTAGGAAATAGTGGAATGGTGCATGCATCGAGTTTGTTGCTAGAGTAAATATAGTATGAGAGAGTTATTAGCTTTTCTTGATATTGGTGTACCTATGAAATATGTAGATCAATTTAGAATGGAGGAAGTAATACTAAAAAAAAATCCTCAAACATGCACTGAAAAAGAAATATTCTATATATCATCATCCGTTGAAAGCCTACTCTTTTCATTCAACTTGTCTGCTAATTAAATCAATGTTTTATCTATGTCATTATGTACAAAAGAAACTAACACTGATTAATAGTACGACATAGCTCTGTCTCTTTCATCTCTAAGAACATCTCCAGCAAACATATATCATATTCGCTATAGTTATAATTCAACAATTCTCTTTTAAAAAATAACAGCTCCAATAAATCGCCCTACTCAATTTTAGGTACTCCCCATAGTGAGTATAATCGACCCCAAATTTTGGGTGCCCCTGTCCCACTCCCTATGCCAGCCAAGACTTGTTGATCGCCAGGGGCGGAACCACCCATTAGGTAGGGTTGGGCGGCCAGCCCAGCTATGGCCCGCGCCGCCCCAACTCCCCATATCCTTCTTGGGCCGCCTACCACCACATCCAATTCACAATTGGCCCATAAAAAAGCAGCCCAAGTGTCCAATTCAGATTTTCTGGGAAATCAAGAGTTAAACTCATGCCCGCGATGCCTCGGTACCTAGCGCCATCATCTCCGCATGCTGCGTCTCGCTACCCACACGCGACACCTCGCTACCCGCACGTGACGCGTCGCTTCGCTACCTGAGCGTGCCTAGGCTAGCCGCCGCCCGCTGGCGCCTAGCGACGGCCGACACCATTCGCTCCTCCTGCTCGGCGCCACACGCGCCAACTCGACGACATTACCTCGCCATCGCCCCGTCCCTACCGAGTTCCAGCCATTCCCGCGCCAACGCCGCCGCCCGGTCATCGGCAGCACGCAGCACCGCAGGCCGCAACAGCCAGTAGCCCAGTAGCTTGCGGCGGCTTTAGCATCGGCCATCGGGCATCCTTGAGAATGCTCACCCCCATCACCTACTATAGTTAGGTGCCTAACGTTTTTCTCTCTCTCCCTTCTAAGCAAAATAATAATCATCTTATTCGGGGTATGTCTTCTCATATATTTATTTTTTTAAAGATATCTATCAACCATGCTTTATGAATTGACTCATATTTGCAAATTGATACGTTTACCAATATCTTTTTATGTATGATGAATTATTTTGGCGCAAAAATTATTACTTTATTATAATATCGTTTTTGTTTGCTTTAATTTATTGATTATACTATATGTTTATGTGATTACAACATAAATATAGTATTTGTTGCATTTAGTTGTTCTTATTGACACGAGCATCTTCGCCCTATCTTTAATTTAATCCTGCGTCCGCCACTGTTGATCGCTATCATTTTCACTGCATCCTTCACCTTCCTCTCCTCCCCACATCCCTCATCTTGCTTGGCCTTCGCCTCCTGCGACCACCACTTAGCTGGCCATTGCTCTTTGCCCCATCAAGCTCCAACCTCTGTTGAAAGCATATTTTATTTTGCATGTTGGAACGGCAACTCCATCTTAAACTTACTGCTTAAAAGCCAACAATTTGTAAGCTATATAAGCCAAAATGCCGGCTTATAGGCATACTATACTAAGACTGTGATTAATTTGCTTGTATTTAGTATTATGCAATACGGTAATACTTTGAGCTCAACTTTAACTTATACTACATAACACATTTTTAGAGGATTTTGAAGTTCAAAAATGTGTAGATAGGTGCATTTGCACTTATCTGAAAATTCCCAAGGATACTTGATTATTATGTACTATAATCAGAATCCCACCAAATTTACAGATTGATAAATCTTTTAATTGATTGGGCAAGTAATATATGGAGTAACACTTATGGGTCGGGAGGCATTTAAAAATTAAGTAGTTCAATTGAGATTGTCTTTTCACTAACGAATGGTAACCTATTTATACATCTACAAGAGATTTGTCTTGGGAAACAACTAAGTATTATCATAGGAAAGTAGACAATTAGACATCATCATCATCTAATATTCTAAATAATAACTGTTCTCAAGAGGTTGGCTACATTTTTTTGCTGTTGTTTCATTGAAAAGTTCTTGCAACCTTTTTTCCATTAAGGGCATGTACGATTCCTTTTTAACTCTCGTCTCGTCTTAAAATATAATGGTGCACACCTATCATGCGTGTTTAAGAAAATAATATTGTTGATAATATTTTTTTTTTGTGTGTGCAGGGTGCTAAAGATGGAGTAGATTCAATGGAGGACTCATCTAACTTAAACGAAGACACTACATACAACGCTGTAGAAGGAAAGAGCCTCCCTCGCACATATTCAATGGTAACTGCTTTCAAGGAATCTGAGATCGTTGGGCGAGTTGATGAAATAAAGGAGATTATTGAACTGATTTCAAAAGGTAGCCAACAGCTTGAGAAGATCTCAGTGTGGGGAATGGGTGGTATTGGGAAAACCACTCTAATTCAAAATGTCTACCGAAGCGAAAAGGTTAAGAAGATGTTTGATAAGCATGCATGTGTCACGATCATGCGCCCGTTCAATCTTAATGATCTTCTTATGAGCTTAGTTAGGCAACTAGAAGATTCAAAAACTTCTGGAGAAAAGGAGTTGGCTAGCATTTTAGAAGGAAAGAAATACTTGATTGTTCTTGATGATGTATTATCCACAACAGAATGGAATGCTATAGAATCATATTTCCCAGCAATGGAAACAGGAAGCCGGATCATAATCACCACAAGGCATGAAAGTATTGCTAAGCATTGTTCAGGGGATCAACAAGGAAAAATATATCAACTCAATCGTCTAGGAGACAGCGATGCAAAGAACCTTTTTGCAAAAAAGGTAACCTAAAAGCATATATACTTCTCTCCATTGCTACGCACATTACTACTTCCTAAAAGCATATATAAGCATGAAACTTTTATTTATTTCGGTCTAACCATTTAAAAACTATTGGTGGTTAATATTAAAAAGTAGTTTACAATTGCAAGTATTTGCATTATCTTATTTTATACTCCCTCCGTATTTTAATGTACGACGTCGTTGACTTTTCGACCAACGTTTGACCATTCGTTTTATTCAAAATTTTTGTGCAAATATGAAAATACTTATACCATGCTTAAAGAACATTTGATGACGAATCAAGTCACAGTAAAATAAATGATAATTACATAAATTTTTTGAATAAGACAAACGGTCAAAACGTTGGACAAAAAGTCAAACGTTGGTCAAACGTTTGAATAGGAACCTAGGTTCATTTGCACCTCCAATCTGTACCGTTTGAATGCTCTGAGATGTGTGCTAGCAAATGTCTCTTTCTCCTCTCAAATCATAGTTATTAAAGGAAGGAAGGGACATGAATAATACATAAAGGTACTGTGTTTCCTGCCACCACTTTTTAGCCTTCCAAGTTTGCCCTTGACATGGTTCCATTCCATTTTTTTCTAATGCATATAAATTAAGGATGCCAAATTTTGTGCCCCTATATAACTATATGTACGTTTAGACCTTTCCCTAGTACAATGATTTTTGTTAATAGAACTTGTCATACGTTGATATATCTGCAAATGAGCTTCAAACAACGACATTCCAAAACAATTAAGCCACCTATCAAGTTTAGATAACACTGTAGAAAAGAGCGAAATATGAAATAGCCAATTATCTTCCCATAAGAAGAACAACTGAATATGAAATATATTGTGTCATTATACAATAGACTTATGTTACATATCCATTGTTTAGAAAAAATATTTATTCTCATTTTATCGGTACAAAATGACGTTCACAGATCATATCTTAATACCTATATATATCCATACTGACACTTGCAAAAAAACCCCTCAATCCTCCAAAAGGACATCTATAAATGATTATCCATCATCAAAATGACATTTACAAAATGGTGCATCTACTATATCTCCATTTTGACATTTGACTTAATGGAACTATCTCCATTCACAAAGGGCATGTTGACGAAAACAATATAACTTGCAAAAATGACACTACATATACAGACAACATATATTTAAATAACATTTGAGAGCTTGATGAATCTTCAAATGATACTAGCAAATTAATGATGTATCTGTAAACGAAATTTGCTAATGATATATTGTTAAATGATATGTATAACCGATATCTATGTTAATGAACCTTTGCTAGTGACTCAACCTTTAACTGATATATTCACAACAAATATATCGGCAAAGTATATGTCATCTGCAAAATACATATGTCAATGAAGTAGGTTTACAAATAAAATTTCTCTAATTGACATTCAGAGCCAACAAATTAACTAGGTGATCAAGAGAATTTATTAAAATTTGTAATGCACATACATGCATAATTTTTCACATGGAGAGAGGGAAGTACTAGTTGGAGGGCATCTTGGGAAAGCTACAGTAGAAAACGTACACAACATGTACCTATTGAACCCACCAATGCACAGCCCTATATAGCAACTCCATCAGATAGGTACATTTTGATGGTGGTTAGCAAACATGATGGATCACAACTGCATCGGAGTCATATGCACACGTGTCGACCAGGGGATTGAGGTGCATATGCACCGCGGATCATATTATCCAGCTCACACACATATATATATATATATATATATATATATATATATGTATATATATGTATGTATATATATATATATGTATATATATGTATGTATCTATATGTATGTATACCTATGTATGTATGTATGTATACATATGTATGTATCTATATGTATGTATACCTATGTATGTATGTATATGTATGTACGTACGTACGTACGTTCGTTAGTCTTCTAGTTTTACTAACCCCTACAAATGTACTACTCCTTATTTGCAAACCAACATCAAAAACATTTGTACACAACCATACGTACATACTTACACACAAATAACAGACATACAGGCCTCACCACCAGAGGTACGTGGTGCGGTAGAGTTGTGAATGTATAACTCAATCATAGTATTTACAAATATTACACATATGGGTAGTGGGTGCACTTTTAGGAGTTTAAATACCACTGGCCTCTATCTCTCTTAAGCTTGTGTTAAGGGAGTGTACTTGTACGCGCGCGTCTGCTTAATGTGCGTCTGGATCTTCAGTGTAATAGAAAAAAAAAGAGCAATTTACAATGGAAAGAAATAGGGAATTAAAACCCAGATTCCAATCATAGCAACTGTATCATATTAACTACTTTATATTAGAATTAACAATTATATTGGTCATAAATGGTTAGCTAATCTTATTGTAGCATAATATTTTGAATCTAGCCCAGGATAGGCTATGCCGGAACTATATTTTGAAACTATGTATAATACACATAATCCAAATTAAACAACAGAAAAAAGAGGATACACTTCATTTTATTTTTTAAACTTGTATGCTTAAACTACAGTAGAGTTAAACAAACACCACTTGGGGGGTGTGGTGGGGTGTGGTGGGGGGACCACAAGTGGTTCGGTGTTAAAGTCGTGGTTCCCATGATTCTACCTTGCCACACGTTTCTTCACTAGATGTACAACCGTTGCTTCACAGGTTCTGGGATTTTTGTTGTTCTCGTTATTTTATTGTTGTTGTTGATTGCACGAAGCATGAGAAGTGGATCATGATCCATGTGGTTCTGGGCGCACCTTAGGCCTTTTGCAAGTGGGTTGTAAGTTGGGTACTTACTATTTGAGTGGAAAAGAAAATCAAAATTGTTGACCTAAAACTCTCTATGCAGCTTTAAAATATTTAATTTTATTTTTATTCTTGAAGTTGAAATAAATTATAATTTAAAATTTAACCAAAATTTGAAACTTTATGCAAATTGAGAACTTGCTATAGAAAATTTAAAAAACTCTAAAAAAAAATCAAAACATCAACTCAAAATAACAAACTTGCTCAGATTTTAAGGCTTTCTACCCAAACTTTATAACTTTCAACTCAAATTCTGAAATTTTCAAGTCAAATTTTGTAACTTTGAAGTCATATATTCAAAACTACATACCCATAAAAACTATATGAAAAATATGATACTCTGAACTCAAAATTCAAAACTTTGTACTCAAATATTTATTTATTATATAGTACAGAAAGTTAGTATCAATGAGAAAGTTCAGACAATCTAATTGGATGAAGAAAAACTAGACGAAACTTGTTGCCCGGGCAGCTAAGCGCATGGTTGCAGATGTGACTTACCTCCTATACAGTACGCGTATTAGCAAACACCTACCCACCAAGGTAATCATAGTTATGCATGGTGTGCATGCCTAGTGATGTGCACGTCTGTCAGGGTTACGGATAAGGCATACCTCCTAACCTACGACTTATGGAATATACCGATAAGGTATACCTTCACGTATATGGATCGTTCCTGCAAATATCGTACAAAAAACGCCCCAAATTATGGAAAATATCTCCACGAGTCAAGTGATTTCTAAAGTCCTACACGGAGGGGATAGAATTTCGGTTATGCCGTATCAGATCACATATCCTCAGACTTTTCTTGGGGGTCAACATGATCCACGGTATAAAAGGGACCCCTGGGAGGGGTATCAGGCATCTAATTTCATCGCCAACACACCCACCAAAGTTTACGAAGATGGAGTACGCGGAGCCAAGTCGCTGGGAGATCTCGTCGAATCTTTCGACCACGATCTTGTTGGTATCGCCTATTTCGACTACTCTCTTTGTAATTTGTTCTTGTTATCATCAATCCCATATAAACTGGACTAGGGCTATTACCTGATAAGAGGCCTGAACTAGTATAATCCTTGTCTTTTGTCTGCTTGATGTCGTATTACGTAGACCCTCGTTCCAACGTACCCCAATACTCTACTTATCCGGTCCGTGAGTATCACTCGTCGACAACGTCTTCTATGTAATTGAAAAAAAAAGACAATATTTTTCTAATTCTCAAATCAAGATGTTATACGGTAAATTACTGCAACAATATGTTCAGAAAAATTCAGTCGTAGCCAAACCCTCTGCTGTTCGATTTATCACCCTAAATTACAATACCTGACATTTTTTAACCTTGAACATTACAAACCAGATGAATTACCCCCAAAGTTGGTTTGATGTTGGTTTTGGTCCTACGTGGCGTATCAGCCCCACAAGTCAGTCTCCACCTCATCCTCCTCCTATCAGGCTATTGGGATCCACCTATCAGCTGCTATCTCCTTTCTTCACCTAGAACACAAGAGCAGTCAATGCTTAGGCACTGCTGTTGGACGCCGCTAGGCTGCTCCCCTTCCTCACCGAGAAAGCCAACTCCACCCCTCTCTATTCTAGACCGGATCTAGATGCTCCCTCCACCACCAATTTGGACTCTGCCGCTACGCCTCCTCCTCTTCTTCTTCCGTCGCTAATTAGATCGTCACTACCTCTTCTGCTCCGGCCGCCGTGATGTGGGCAGGCAGCACAAAAGGGGTGCGGGTAGCTGTGGCAGCACCCCCTTCTTCCCCATCTACAGCCAAGGCATTTCAGCAACAGCAGCTCCACACACATGGTCAACACCGAGGTTCCTCTGCTCCCTCGCCACCCCATCGAACGCCCGAACCTGTTGCTCCCGTATGGCACCTACGACCCCATGGCTCAACGCGGGCGACGGTGAACTCATGGCAGAGGTGGGATGGGTGGCTTCAAACTCACAATGGAAGTGGTGAGATCAACGGCGAGATCCACAACCTCAACACCGCTTGCATCCACTATCTCTGTCACGGTGCGTCACTTCTTCTGACCTCAGTTTTGCTCTCCTCTGTTAGTTCCACTGCCTCGTGTCACCCCTAAATCTCAGCGCTGCTTGTCTTGGCTTTGCCTTCGGTGCACGTCTGGTGGAGATGGTCATCGGCGACAGTAGCTGAGATCGAGCGAAAGAGAGGATGGGGAGAAGAAGACGGACTGGGCTGACAAATGGGTCCCATCATTCTTTTATTTGTTTTGGCTAAATAGAGCTGCCACATGTGTGGCAGATAGGATCAAAACTACCTTGGGTAAGTCGTCCATTTTTTAAAGTTCAGGGTTAAAAAAATGTTTGGTATTGTAATTTAGGTGGGGGTGGGGGTAAATCGAACGGACGCATAGGGGTAATTCAGACTTTTTCCTTTATTTTGGCTACACCCGACAAGGAACACATAAGTGATATGCTGTGAGTGCGTGAGGGAGGCATGTATCAGTAGTATGTGCAATATAGTTCTACTATGAAGCAAATATGTTCCTACTATGAGCTGACCTGCTGATACATACATCTGTCATGTCTTACAACATACTATGAGTCTATGAGTTGTTACCCCCCCCCCCCAATCGGCGAAAAATACTTACCATCACACTAGCTAGTGCAAATCCTCATCATATATATATTGCCAGCTCGAATCTGGCACTCACTGTCGGTTTGGGAACCAGCAATATTGAAATGGACCTCAGTGATATACTCCATATGTTTGAGCAGTACTATCACTTGTAGAGTAGAAATTGTTTTTTTTTAAAAAAAATCAACACATAGGCTAGCTCCAGTAGTGCCAACCGTCACCCACTTCCTTGATAGCTTTTTGTGCGAGCAGTGACTCCTCGAGGCAGTCAAGCATTGCTTAGAGTGGTAAGATCTGGCCCTATCCCACCTCCCATCTAATGCTCATGCCCACAACCCTTGCCATCGCCGTTGCCCGTGCTTGGACCGGCTAGATTTGATGGTCCTGGGCTGGCTCAGGGCAACCCGATTCATTCCTATGACCAATCATGCTTCCATTTCCCTTCACTGTCACTAGTAGCCCTAGTGCCCTACTATGCATAATAGGCCAGCCAGATATAGCCCTCCTGTGCTGGCCCTCATTGTGCTCAGGTATGGAGGGAGAGCAGTGGCGGCATACTCGAGATAAAGGGAGATGTTGACCAAGAGTGAGAAGTTGATTGAGAAACTTAGCATGCTAGTTCATTGGATGTCTCATAGCCCATTCAGCTTGGCCTTCGCTGCTGCTTTCTCTCGTGAAACGGTAGTGAAGGGTGAAGATAAAGTTGGCAATATAGTGTCACTTCCGGGTTTATAAGAAAAACTGAAAAAAAAACGGTATAGTGATACTTCTGCTACCTGTTTTTCTCATGAATTGATCAATGCTATTATTTGAGCATCGGTTTTAGGTTAATCAGCTGCATTGCACTGGTTTGGATTGATGTTTCTACACTAGTGCCAGTTACTCCGATAAATATTTGCAAGAAATTATTTTATGCACAATTAATTAAAAAAAGAAGTATTTACTACTTAAATTATACACGTTTCAGGTATTTAAGGAGTCAGTAAATTTGGATCAAGAAGATCTTGAGTTGATTGAAGAAGCAAAACTGATTCTAAAGAAGTGCAAAGGACTTCCCCTCGCAATTGTCACCATAGGTGGTTTCTTGGCAAGCCGGCCCAAAACTGCTTTGGAGTGGAGAAAATTGAATGAGCATATTAGTGCAGAGTTGGAGACAAACCTAGAGCTTGAGGCCATAAGAGCTGTCCTTAATATAAGCTACGATGGATTACCCTATCACCTCAAGTCTTGCTTCTTGTACCTGTCCATCTTTCCTCAAGATGACAAGATTAGCCGGAAACGTTTGGTGCGCCGATGGTGTGCAGAGGGTTACTCAAGGGAGCTATTGGACAAATCTGCATAGGAAATAGCAAACAACTACTTCTTTGAACTCATAGACAGAATCATGATCCTACCAACTCAAAAATCAACTTATAGCAGTAGAGGAGCTGATTCTTGCTAGGTTCACGATATCATGCGCGAGATAGCCATCTCGAAGTCAAAGGAGGAAAATCTTGTTCTTAGACTCGAAGGGGGTCGTAGGCTACACAATCATGACACAGTTCGGCATCTTTCCATTACAAACAGCAGCGAGGACTGGGAGACAGATGTCGGTGAATTGAAGACAACAGTAGACATGTCCCGAATAAGATCATTAACAGTGTTTGGGGAGTGGAGGCCATTTTTCATTTCTGACAAGATGAGGTTGTTGCGTGTGCTCGACTTGGAAGACACAAAAGATGTACGTAATCACCATATTAAGCAAATAGGGGAGCTTCTTCACCTTAGATACCTTTCTCTAAGAGGATGTATGCGCATTGCTTACCTGCCTGATTCTTTGGGTAACCTAAGGCAACTGGAGACACTAGATGTCAGAGATACGTTCATACTCAGGTTGCCAAAGACCATCACTAATCTTCGCAAGCTAAAGTATCTCCGTGCAATTGTAGACAAAATCACCTATGAAGGAATAGCAGAGGAACTACCAGAGGTCATGAGGAACATGCTATGCATTTTTACCGCTGCGTTGCTGTTGCTTTGTCTGGCATGCACAACAAGTTCAATTGGTATGCTGGATGATGAGATTAATACCCGTGAGATCTGCTCCATGTTTTGCTGCAGTATTCTCCCTAGCATTGCTATGCGCCTCCAAGGGAATGGTGTAGTAGCACCAAGAGGGCTGAGGAGACTGACAGCCCTGCACACGCTAGGTGTGGTGGACATCTCATGGGAATCATCAGTTTTACAGGATCTCAAGAAGCTCACCTAGCTGCGCAAATTGGAAGTGACCGGTGTCAACAAGAAAAACAGCAAAAAGTTTTTTTCTGTCCTTGCCGCGCTCAGCCGCCTAGAATCATTGTCGCTGCTCTCGAAGGGAAAGCCAGGTCTCTGCGGCTGTCTAGATGCTCAAGAAAAGTTTTCACCACCTAAGGATGTCAAGAGCCTGAAGCTGCAAGGCAACCTGGTTGAGTTGCCAAAATGGATCAAGCAGCTCAACAATCTCGTGAAGCTGAAGCTATCAGAAACAATGCTAAAGGATCATGATGCTGCTATACAAGTCCTTGGTATGCTACCAAACCTGACCATCCTATGCCTGTCGCGTGAGTCGTTTCACTCGCTTGAGGGTGAAGAACTCAATTTCTCGGAGGGATCTTTCAAAAGCCTGGTGGTTCTCGAGCTCAACTTCAGTGGGAGCAAATGTGTCAAGTTTGAACAAGGAGCGTTCCTCAATCTTGAGCTACTGCTGCTTTCAGTTTACTATGAAGAAGTTGAAACTAAGTTCTCTGGGCTAGAATTTCTCCAAAGCATCAAGGAAGTCCAGATCGATGGTTATTGCCCAAATAGGAAAGGATTGAAGAAAGACTTGCTGGTCCAGCTTTCTCAGAATCCAAAGAAACCCTTTCTGAAGACTGGCCGTAATTTTTAAGCTGACTCTGATGTTGGGGCTAATGTTGTCTCCCTTGTGCTGCTTGGTTGTTGTCAATCTATCTCTCTCTCTCTCTCTACATTTATATGTTGTAGTCATTCAATGAACAACTTAATTTGCTGTTTTATCCAAACTTTACTAAAGCTTTCCTTAATCATGTGTGGTGCGCGGTCACCAAATTAAGTGTATCAGGAAAGATCTATAAGTAGTACTGTAGTGATGCTAGTGCATATATAATATATTCATTTGTGCTGCTGCCACTGAAGCATCGTCAGTCACTCGTCCACTTGTGCTTGGAAGGATCAGCTGGTCGAATGCATGTGTTCGTGAAAGTTTTTTTCTGCCCTTGCCGTTCTCAGCCGCCTGGAGCGGAATCATTGTCGCTGCTCTCGAAGGGGGAGCCAGGTCTCTGGGGTTGTCTTGATGCTGATGAAGAGTTTTCACCACCTATGAATCTCAAGAGCCTGAAGCTGCAAGGCAACCTGGTTGAGTTGCCAAAATGGATCAGGCAGCTCAACAATCTCGTGAAGCTGAAGCTATCAGAAACAATGCTAAAGGATCATAATGCTACTATACAAGTCCTTGGTGAGCTAAGAAACCTGACCATCCTATGCCTGTCGCGCGAGCCGTTTCACTCGCTTGAGGGTGGCGAACTCAATTTCTCGGAGGGATCTTTCATAAGCCTGGTGGTTCTCGAGCTCCACTTCGGTGGGAGCAAATGTGTCAAGTTTGAACAAGGAGCGTTCCTCAATCTTGAGCTACTGCTGCTTTCAGTTTACTATGAAGAAGTTGAAACTAAGTTCTCTGGGCTAGAATTTCTCCCAGGAATCAAGGAAGTCCGGCTCCATGGTGAATTTTATGCCAGAAACGAGCAATCCGCACCAAGATTGAAAGAGGACTTGCTGGCACAGCTTTCTGAGAATCCAAAGAAACCAATCCTGAAGACTAGCGGGTGTTTTTAGCTGATCGAGCTCCATAGCAAATAATTGACGACACTGTTGTGTCCCTTATACTGCTTCTTGATTGTTGTGATTATCTATCTGTCTATATTATAACCCCGTGCTTAGCTTTCCTCTTTGCATTTGTTGTAATTATTCGATGAACAACGTAATTTTCTGTTCTATGGAAAACTTTCCTGAAGCTTTCCGTAATCATACATGCATGGCACTCATCAATTCAATTAAGTGTATCAGAAAGCTAGGCTACTAGTGTATACTCATTTGTGCAATTGTGCTGCTACAATATTGGGTCAGTTTGGATGGATCAGGCCAAATGTGTGTTGTTTGTGAGTCATGTAGACCAATGCATATTGAAAGATCTGCGATGCGTCGATGGCTTCTATATGTCTCCGATAATGCTGGTAATTATAGAAGCTACTCAAGAAAGAGAACTGAGTTAATACAAAAACCTACTCGAATTAATGTCATTCAATGTCGTCTTGTTTGCCAAATGAGAAACTGAATAACACTGTCAAAGTGGAAGAGGGTAGCAAAAGCACCCCAGACGCAGGAAATGGGCCAAGGCAGATGGGCCTATAGCATTTCAAGAAGCTGGGCCATCGCCTTGTGCTTATCAAGCCGAAAAAAGTACACCGAAGGTCCCTCAACTTGTCATCGAGTTACATAATAGTCCCTCAACCACAATACCAGATATCTAGCATCCTTTTACTAGTCAAAACCGGTCACAATAGGTCCTTCGGTGGTTTTAACCCCAGTTTTATCCTACATGTCAGGCTGATACTTATCCCCCTGATCTCTCTTCCCCTCTTCTTTTCCTCGGTTCCTCCTCTCTTTCTCTTTGTGTCTGTAGGCCGGTCGGCGGGGCAAGGTGGGAGAGGAGGGCGACGCCGCAACGGTGGCCGGCGGCGGAGAGGAGGAGGCCAGTCTGCCGGCGCCGGAGTTGTGCGGTTTTTATTTCTTCTTTTTGAAATTAGGTGGTTCTTGTCAGAGGCCAGTCTGCTGGCGCCGGAGCTGTGCGGTTTGGTTTGGTTGGTGAGGGGATTCACGGATTGGTTTGATGTTTATACTGTGCCTGCACAATGGCGACGTGGAGGAGCGTGCCGCGGAGGCCGACGGCGATGGAGGCGGTGGCCATGACGGCCGGGCCGGTCAGAACCGCACCGCCATGGCGAATGTCGCCACCTTGTTTCCGCACGCGATGATCCATGGCTGTAGCGCCATGAACTGCCCTGCATGCGAGTGAAGAAACGTGTTTGTGTTGCAAGAACTGTTAATGATCAATCGATGGGTAGAGGAGGTGAGGAGGAGAACGAACCGAGGCTGAAATGCTGAACATGGCCATGCCAAGGCCGGCATTAGAGAGGATGGAGATGGATTTCAGGAGATTGATTTCCCATTGTGATTATAGATGGACTGCATTGCTCCATCGATTCTGCGTGAGGACGGCGGTGAGCATCGGAGAGGCGGCCATGGGGAGGGTTGCGCAGGGGACCAAAGTCTTGGCCATGATAGAATATTCCGACAGGCGTTCAACACGCCGCTCGACGAGCAGCTCCGCAAGTCCTACGCGTGCTATCTCTCCACCTCCGCCGGCCCGCGACTGCTCCTCATTCGCCGGGCTGCCGTCGGGCTTCCCCGCTGCGGCCGACCGGTGGTGCCCTCCTCCTCTCCCGCCTCGCTCTGTGGACGCCCGCGCACGCCCGCGCCTCCCAGTTGATGCCCGTGCCTCCCCGTGGACGCTCGCGCTACCGCCTGCTGCCTTCGCGGGCCCATCTTTGACCGCCACGAAACACCGTCGGGCTACCGCCGTGCTTCCCCACTGCATGCGGTGTCCGCCGTCGCGCCACCCTCCTCCTCTCCCGCCTTGCCCCGCGGACCGGCCACGGAGAGAGAGAGGAGGAACCGAGGAAGAGAAGAGGGGGAGAGAGATGACTCAGCTTGACATGTGGGGCCCACGTGGGTCCCATGCTGACTCAACCGCCATGTAGGATAAAACCAGGGTCAAAATCACCGAAGGATCTATTGTGACCGGTTTTGACTAGTTAAGGGATGTCGGATATCGGTTTTACGGTTGGGCGACGATTTTGTAACTCGATAACAAGTTGAGGGACCTTCGGTGTACTTTTTCGTATCAAGCCTGAGATCTTGTTTTCTGATTGGGCCGCTACCAATGGTAGTGTTGGAGGCTTACCACGGAGGGCCTTCGGCCGAACCTGCCGAAACCAAAAGTTCAAGCAACAGGCTCACGCCGAAGGTGGGCGGCGAAGGTCGAGAGTGAAGCCATATGGGCGAAAGCCGTGACTGGGGTAACACCACCTTCGCCGAGTGGAGTTCACGCTAGAAGGCGGCACGAGCGAAGATGATGCGGCGAAAGCCTCGGCACACTGGCACGGGTTCCGCCAAAGCATCAAACCCCGCTGTCGGGAGGCTTGATGGGCCGCTACGCCCTTGGGGGTTTTCGCCAGATAGATGGGCCGAGCCATTTAGGCCCAGTAGGGGCTCGTATGTGTAAAGGACACAGTGTGTCCTCCATAATGTCCCTATCATAAGGGTAACCATGTACATTCCCTTGTATAATCTAAACCCTAGTGGTGGGAACCTGTAATGGGGCTATAAATAGCCCCCTAGGGCCATATAATAGGGGGATCCGAAGAAAAATTCTCAATTCAATACACTATTACTGTTTTCCAACCATTGTTGAGTAACCACGTCTTTCGACGTAAGCGGTTGTCGTTTCGACAACAACTGACGCCGACCGTGGGGACCTCCGAGCGAAACCACTGAAAGCGAATGCCACTGAAGAGGGTCGTGAAGGAGAAGGTTACAAGAAGAAAGGAGAGCGAAGCAGGAGGGGAGATGGCCACCGAAGAGGGTGCAGAGCCTTCGGCGCCCATCGCCGAAGATAGGGGAGCGCTATCGGCTTCAGCACCCGCACCACAACTACCGCTTTCGGCTCCTGCCGTCTCGTCGAGACAGGTACCGAACACGGTCGACGCGACGAAGGCAGCCGCGGCAGCGAGGGCACTCCAGATCAGGGCGGAGATCCTTTCGACAAGCCAGCCGCTGGTGCCCCAAGCTGTTTCGTCACAGCTGGCAACTGCTTCGACTACGCTTGCCGCTGCGCAAGTCAACCCCAACCTCGAAGTACAAGCCGAAGCCGATATGGAGGCCATGCGCCAGAACATGACGCGACTCTAAGGATGCTTCGCCAAATACAGGAGCAGCAGCAGGCGTACGAGACGGCGCGGCAGGCCAAGGTCGCTACGGCCCCAATCCTCCAGTATTCAGCGGGCTACATTCCACCCCAAGTCTACCCGTAAGCATCAATCCAGCCCCTTCTGCCACAAGCCATGCAAGCGCCAGTACACTTCGCTGGGCAGCCTTCGACCGCAGCAGTACATCCGACCCCTCATGTGCAGCCGCAGGCTCAGCCGGTCGCTGCCCATGTACACCCTCCACCACCTGGCCAAATGTCACAAGCAATGGCAGAAGGGGCTTCGGCCTTGAAGGCACAGCTTCAAGCTTTCCTTCAGCAGCTCAGCCAACCCCACAGCATTTCAGGTACAGCCCCTTCGGCCCAGCCGGAGGGGAACACGAGTCAAGGTGCACCCAGTTGGTTGCCGTCGAATCAGCCTGGTCCGGGGGCTTCGCCTTGGAGTCAAGGACTGCAGTTCGACTTCATCAACGCTGTTCAATCATAAAATATTAGTGCAGAGTTGGAGACAAACCCAGAGCTTGAGGCCATAAGAGCTGTCCTTAATATAAGCTACGATGGATTACCCTATCACCTCAAGTCTTGCTTCTTGTACCTGTCCATCTTTCCTGAAGATGACAAGATTAGCCGGAAACGTTTGGTGCGCCGATGGTGTGCAGAGGGTTACTCAAGGGAGCTATGGGACAAATCTGCAGAGGAAATAGCAAACAACTACTTCTTTGAACTCATAGACAGAAGCATGATCCTATCAACTCAAAATTCAACTTACAGCAGTAGAGGGGCTGATTCTTGCCAGATCCATGATATCATGCGTGAGATAGCCATCTTGAAGTCAAAGGAGGAAAACCTTGTTCTTAGACTCGAAGGGGGTCGTAGGCTACACAATCATGACACAGTTCGGCATCTTTCCATTACAAACAGCAGCGAGGACTGGGAGACAGATGTCGGTGAATTGAAGACAACAGTAGACATGTCCCGAATAAGATCATTAACAGTGTTTGGGGAGTGGAGGCCATTTTTCATTTCTGACAAGATGAGGTTGTTGCGTGTGCTCGACTTGGAAGACACAGAAGGTGTACGTAATCACCATATTAAGCAAATAGGGGAGCTTCTTCACCTTAGATACCTTTCTCTAAGAGGATGTATGCACATTGCTTACCTGCCTGATTCTTTGGGTAACCTAAGACAACTGGAGACACTAGATGTCAGAGGTACTAGATGTCAGAGGTATGCACATAGACAGGCTGCCAAAGACCATCATTAATCTTCGGAAGCTAAAGTATCTCTGTGCAAGTGTAGACGAAAACACCTATGAAGGAATAGCAGAGGAACTACCAGAGCTCATTAGGAACAGGCTATGCATTTCTACTGTTGTGTTGCTGGGGCTTTGTCTGTTCTGCTCAGCAAGTGTAATTGTAAAGTTTGATACAGGGATTAATACCCGTGACATCTGCTGCCTGTTTTGCTGCGGTATTCTCCCTAGCATTGCTATGCGCCTCCAAGGGAATGGTGTAGTAGCACCAAGAGGGCTGAGGAGACTGACAGCCCTGCACACGCTAGGTGTGGTGGACATTTCATGGCAGCCATCAATTTTACAAGATATCAAGAGGCTCACCCACCTGCGCAAATTGGAAGTGACCGGTGTCAACAAGAAAAACAGCAAAAAGTTTTTATCTGCCCTTGCCGCTCTCAGCCGCCTGGAATCATTGTCACTGATCTCAAAGGGGAAGCTAGGTCTCTGGGGCTGTCTGGATGCTGAAGAAAAGTTTTCGCCACCTAAGGATCTCAAGAGTCTGAAGCTACACGGCAATCTGGTTGAGTTGCCAAAATGGATCGGGAAGCTCAACAATCTCGTGAAGCTGAAGCTATCAGAAATCGGGCTCAAGGATCATGATGCTGCTATACAAGTCCTTGGTAAGCTACGAAACCTGTCCATCCATTGCCTGCCGCGCAAGTCATTTCACTCGCTTGAGGGTGGAGAACTCAATTTCTCGGAGGGATCTTTCAAAAGCCTGGTGGTTCTCAAGCTCCACTTCGGTGGGAGCAAATGCGTCAAGTTTCAACAAGGAGCATTCCACGATCTTGAGCTACTGGTGCTTTCTGGTTATATTGAAGAAGTCGGAACTAAGTTCTCTGGGCTAGAATTTCTCCCAAGAATCAAGGAAGTCCAGCTCCATGATTATTTTTATGACGTAAATTAAACGAGCAAGCCACACGAAGATTGAAGGAGGACTTGCTGGCACAGCTTTCCGAGAACCCAAAGAAACCAATCCTGAAGACTAGCGGGTGTTTTTAGCTGATCGAGCTCCATCGCAAATAATTGATGATACTGTTGTGTCCCTTCTGTTCTGCTACTTCTTGATTGTTGTGAATATCTATATCTGTCTATATTAACCCCATGCTTAGCTTTCCTCTTTGCATATGTTGTAATTGTTCAATGAACAACATAATTTTCTGTTCTATCGAATATTTTCCTGAAGCTTTCCTTAATCATAAATGCATGGCACTCACCAATTCAATTAAGTGTATCAGAAAGCTAGGCTACTAGTGTATACTCATTTGTGCTACTGCAGTATTGGGTCAGTTTGGATGGATCAGGCCAAATGTGTGTCGTCTGAGAGTCATGTAGACCAATGCATGTTGAAAGATCTGCGATGTGTCGATGGCTTCTATATAGGTAATTATAGAAGCTACTCAAGAAAGAGAACTGAAGTTAATACAAAAACCTACTCGAATTAATGTCATTCAATGTCGTCTTGTTTGCCAAATGAGAAACTGGAAATAACGCTGTCAAAGTGGAAGAGCGTAGCCAAAGCACCCCAGACGCGGGAAATGGGCCAAGGCAGTTGGGCCTATAGCCTTTCAAGAAGCTGGGCCATCGCCTTGTGCTTATCAACCCCGATACCTTATTTTCTGATTGGGCCGCTACCAACGATAGCGATCTGAACTTGAATAGGCGTCACCGTCTAGCCCTGCTATTTCTTTCATCAACTTCCTCATTTTCCGTTATCACGTGTTTTAAAATATTAAATGGTACTTTCTTTAAAAATAATTTATATAGAAGATGTTTAGAAAAAGAAATAAATAGTTAATATTTAATTAATCGTGTGCTAATTGCTTGCTTCTTTTTTCGTGCCGCTAAAATGCTCATATCATTCAAGCAAACTAAGAGCATCACCAACAATATCCTAAATTTTATTCCTAAATTTTTTATTATGGGAATTCTAAATATAATTTAAGGTGTTAAAAATTTTCTCTCTCTAAGAGATTAAGTAAAATTGGTTTTCTAAATATTAAAAAGGTGGGCCACGATAAAATCTCCACCAGAAAAATCTATTTTTGGCTCCTTCCTCCCGCAAGAACGTGCCTGCGATATCTTCCCACGCGTGAAGTGGCGCAATTGAGAGCCATAGTGCGTCCCTAGAAAAGAACGATAATCCCAAAGTAGGGAATAGAGAAATTTGGGAATGAGATTAGAGAATCTGTTGAAACAAAATTTTAACCAAAAATCCTCATTTTTTTTGACAGGGAATGATATACAGATTTTGTTGGTGATGCTCTAACGCAGATCCAAGATCAAGAAGCCTATAAACTATTGGAAAAAAAGCCACCATGCTTTCCCTTAGAGTCAATCTAAGAAAGTAGTGCACCCAAGTTAATAAACCAAGTTAATGTATTTACACTACGAACACACTATATCAATTTACTAGCACGTAAATTGATTTCAAGAAAAGAAAGTAGTGCTAGCTTGGTTGTAATGGGAGGACCATTATTGCGAACGGCAGGATTAATTCTCAACTCTGTACTTTTTATCCAAACATCTCGTCTACACAAATTTTGAAGCAAATTCAATGGTTGAAAAATCGGCATATTTCTTCCCATAAAAATCTGTCTTTCTTCTAAACATCCTCCTACACAAATCTTGAAGCAAATACCATGATCGAAAAAGTACAGTTTTTTTCTTTAAAGGAAAAACCGTCTAGCACGTACGTGGACGATGGACAATTGGAAAAATATCACTTTGAAAAATATATGGATAAAGATATGAACTAGTAGGGGGCATGTCCATCTGATTCGATCAAAACAAATTAAATGATGGCGCATGATAAGGCTATATATGTCATTTGTAGGTTGCCAACGAGTGGTCGGTGTGCCATTTTAGATTTGTCGCCTGGACCATCGCTCTTTGGTTTTGCTGCAATTAACTGTGCAGCTAGCTATAAGATAATTTTATTATACGATATACAAATGGGGAAAATAATTAATGTCTTTTAAGATTCATGTTTTTATTTATGTATAAACATACAAGCATACATGAGTGATTACAATGCTTAGAGCACAATTAACTAGGATGCATCTAGTTTTACAAAGAAGCCCCTTGAGAATGGGCATAACATGCTTTTACTTAACATTTGACAGAAAAAAGGATCTAAGAATAAGAAAAAGCAATCGGGTCGTCCTCCCGCATCTGTCTTCAACATCCACTCTGAAAATCCCAAGCTTGACGCCGGTGATCAGCTGCAAAGAGATCAATGTTAGTGCAAATTAAATGTTCATATTAAGATGCAAATTACTCCCCCGGTTCTATAATTTTTGACGTTTTAGATAAGGCCGTTGAGATCAAAATTTTGTAACTTTGATTATTAATAACTTTATAAGTATTTAGTAGAACAACAATATTTAGATTTAATTTGTCTTTCAAAGTATACTGAGAAAACTAAACATGTATTTATTTATTGTATATATTATAATAGAAAAAGAAAGTCAAACATATATTTTAAAGACCGTATCATTTTTTAAAACGTCAAGAATTATAGAACCGGAGGGAATAAATTGCAAATATCAAATTTTGAGCGTGACTTAACTGGTAACTTTTTTTTAACCTATTTAATTATCAGTTCAAGTTTTAAATTTAGTAAGAGGTTTCGTATTTACAGTTAATTATTTTTTCAGTGATGGAGTATCTAGGCGTGGCACACGCATGCCATGGTGACCACATCAGCTGCATACCTACAATCTTGCGTTCGTTCGTTATGTCGGTCCCCCGCGGTCAGGTCCATCGTATCAGTACGATGAGTAAGTCACAAACGTTTCGACCCATTCTTCCGTGAGTGCAACCGTATTCGATCGATCACGAGACGGTGCGCGATGTGTGAGACACGAAGCCTTTCGCTTTGACACAAACTATATGATATACTCTGTGTTTCGCTACGAAATGTATGGATAAATTTGCATCAAAAATATTACCCATGAATAACCGGGCAAAACGATTTAATGTACATCTAATTGGATCATCGCGGTCGGACATCGGCGTGCAACACGCAGTGTTCGTGCGTTTGTACTAGCTCCGTGATAGATACTCTCTCCGTGTTTAAATATTTGACGCCGTTGATTTTTTAAAATGTTTGACCGTTCGTCTTATTTAAAAATTTTTATGAAATATGTAAAACTATATATATACATAAAAATATATTTAATAATAAATCAAATGATAGAAAGAGTATTAATAGTTACTTAAATTTTTTAAATAAGATAAACGAATCAAACATATTTAAAAAAATCAACGGCGTCAAACATTTAGAAATGAAGCTAGCCCTTTGCCTCGCCAAATTAATTAAGTAGGCAGCGAATATCTTGGCGTTAATTTGGTTAGCTTGCTGGATGCATGGCTAGCAAGCAGCTTCGTCGTTGCAGGCAAGTTTCACTAGCTCACGGAACAGAAATAATGCGTATGTCGATGTCTCACCACGGGACTCACGTGTGCAATAATCCTGAGTGAGATTCCGAGAAAAAAACCGACGAGCGATCGATCGTACGCACATTATCATCACGTACCGACGAGCGATGACGGCAACGTACGCCCTCTCTCAGTTTCTAAATATTTGGCGTCAATTTTTTTTAAATATATTTGACTATTTATCTTATTAAAAAAATTAAATAATTATTAATTCTTTTTCTATTATTTGATTCGTTATTAAATATACTTATATGTATACATATAATTTTGAAAATTTTATGAAAGTTTTTAATAAGACGAATGGTAAAACATGTGCTAAAAAGTTAACAGTATTAAATATTTAGAAACAGATTGGGTAGCCTTGCATTGTCTATCAGTACGTACAAGAAGCAAAGTTAGGAAACGTGTGCCACGCCCTTCTCATCGAACGTAGCGTACACCGGCAGCTGCGATGTCGTTGTGCGCGCCACGGTAAAACCGCGATGGCTACCTGACTTCCGCCTACATACTAAGGTAGGCACACTAAAATTGATGTTTACCATATTGGCGATAGTTTTTATAAAACGTTTCAAATAAGAAAATGCCTCTCGTTATATTAGCAATACTTCTTTTTATTAGCGGTGCTTCTTTGATTTGTAATTTCTGTCCATTCCATATGATTGGGAGTACTGGTTTACCGTTATATTTCACTACTGCAGAAACCACTATTACGAGAAAGATTTTCGTGTGCGGTCAAAACCAGTTTTCGCGTGCAGGTGGGCAGCCCGCACGCACCCAGGGTCTGCAAAAATCATGATTTATGCGTGTGGGTTGCGCACCCGTACTCGAAAATTTCGCGTGCGGGTGCTTATGTCGTCCGCACGGAAAAACAAAAATATGAAAAAAAATCAAAAAAATGAAAACCCTAGAATCGGCGGCGGCATCGCCTCCTCCTCATCGTTGTCATCGTCGGCCGAGGACGCTGCTCCCGCCGCCGGATCCGCGCTCCCCTCCGGCCGCACCGCCGCCGCCACCGAATCTGGGGAGGGAAGGAAGGGGAGGGGAGGGGAGCCGGATCCCGCGCGCCGCCATCGCTACCACCGTCGCCTACGCCCGCTGCCATCGTCGTGAGGAGAGAAGAGGATATAGGACTGAGGAAAGGAGAGACCGCGTGGAGAGGAGAGGAGAGGAGAGGAGAGAGGAGTGAGAGGAGAGGCGCCGCACAGAGGGAGAGGAGTGAGGAGAAAAAGAGATAGAGAGGAGAGGAGAGAAATAGGGAAAAATTTAAAGTGGATAAGAGGGAAAAAAGGGAGTGGGTATATTTGCGTGCGGCACTCCTAATAGGTCTGCACACGAAAATAGGCTCCTTTTTACGTGCGGTCCATTTAAGAGGACCGCATGGAAAACGTGAAAATAAGCCTATTTTCCTAGACGCAACCAATTATAGTCCGTCTGCAATCTAAATGGGTCTATGTGCAGGAAAATCGTTTTTTATTAGTGAACCATCTTTATTGGGTTGGCCAAAAATCACATTAGTCTCTGTTCGAATAGGAACCAGGACTAAAGAGATGTTTAGCCCCGGTTCAAAAGCGGCACGACACTTTAAGATTTTTAGTCCTGGATGATAATACTAACTGGGACTAAAGATGGGTATTTAGTCCCAATTGTTTATAACAACTAAGACCAAAATTGAAAAAAAAACTGCAGGCCCAGCAAACACGCGTCACACGTCCCCGTCTTTATCTACTCGCGCCCATCCTCTACTTATCTACTCGGCCTCTCCTCCTCCACTACTCCTCGCCTGGTCCTCCCCTCTCCTCGATCCCCTCTTCCCCTTCCCGGGCCTCTCCGTGGTGGTTGGCGCGCGGCGGCAGGCGGAGGCGGGCGGTGGTGCGCGGCGGCGTGACATAAGCGGCGGGCTGATGGGAGGGCGGGCGGCGGGTGGAGGGGAGGATGGTGGCGGGCGGATGGGTGGGCGACAACGGGTGGGCGGCAGCGGGAGGCGGTGCCCTCCCTTCTGCCGGAGGGGAGGCGGGAGGCGGCAGCGGCAGCGGCGGATTTTTTTGTTCTTTTTTTTTTAGTATTTGTGATTCATTGGATCTGAGATGTATAATTTGTGATGTATTTTTTTTTAGAATTTGTGATGTGAATCTATGATTTGTGATGTTACTTTGATTTGGGGATATGTAGGGAGCAACTCGATTTGGAAAAATCAAAATGCAAGCAGCAAAGAAACAATGACAAAAAAAGAAGAAAAATGGTGACCAACCGAAACTGCCGCAACCATCTTTTAATCCCGGTTGGTAACACCAACCAGAACTGAAGATGGACATCTTTAATTTAGTCTCGGATTCACGGTCCTGGTTTACAACCCGGGACTAAAGGGGGTTGCGAACCAGGACTAAAGAAGGGTTTTCCAGCAGTTACAGAAATTAAAAGTATATAGTATTTGCTATATTTACTATTTTGCCACTATGTTTGTCGGAGTGTGTACATAGATAGGGGGCCATTCGATGGGACCGCTTTCTATGAGTTCGGGGGTGTCGCACGTGAGGGAGCGCTCGGGTTCCCATTGAGGACGGAAACAAATGAACAAACAATAATTATATTAGTTTGAGACATCCGGATGTGTAACATCCTACTCCTATTGTGTCATGTGTTTTCTCTCTTGCTAGTGAATGATCTTATATGTCAGACTTAGAGTCGTAGTTCATCTCTTTTGGATTTCCGAAGAACTTCACTGTGTATGGCTATATGTTCTAATAACTCTGTATGTTCGAACCTCCTTTCTCTTGGTCATGGCTCTCCCATTATATCTATCTAGGGACACCACATGATCAGAATATTAGGGAGATGCTAATTAAGTGCATAGTGCCGGATTATGTAAGGAAAATCTTGTCAGCACTGCTCCTCTCTCCCTTTTTGCGAGGCTTAGCGTAGAACCACGAAAAAAAAACTTGTATTAAAGACACCAAGATAACTAGCTGCAAACATCCCAGACAAGCCGATCATACTCGAAATCAACCACCTTCTCTATCACATCATATTGAATTTAAGGTTTATCCAATCACATTCAAAGTTACTAACTACAGCAACCAGGAAAATCCTCGAAAGAATTAGAAGCATCAATGAAGAAGCATTGAACATCACTTCTATAATCCCTCCAGGAAACCATCAGAAGTAAAACATTCTCTGGCCCCCATTGGTTGAATTTTTTTCTAATAAGCCAAAACGGCTTATTAGAGAATAAAAATAAATGTGTAGGTAAAACTTTTATATATGTGTTTTTTTTAACTTAAAAGCCAATACTGAAAAAAACTACGTTGAAAATATCTCAGAATCAATCTCAAAATTAAGTTTGAAAATTCAAAATTTGGCTTATTCTTTGGCTTATTGGGCCATCTGATGGGAGCCTCTATATTTGGTAGCACATAACTAAATAAATAAAAGGGTTCATATTCCTAATTGTCGAAAGTCTCTCAAAGTGACATAACACACTAGTATTTACACTACGGACAACCCTCCTAGTTTAGACTTTAGAGTTACATGTTGCCCAGTTTCGAGGTAAAGTAGACTAGCTCAAATGTGTCTCAAACAGTCGTTCCCGGAACATAAGTCACAAGTGTTCCCACGTGTAGGCATGTTTCACGCTTAGATCGATCGAGTTTCGTTTCCATCTGTACGTACGTTGTACCACCCCAACCCGTCGATCGATATGATCGATCGTCCCCTATAAATTGGACATCCTGGACATGCTCTTTCTTCAGACATCTCCACCCTTCCTATCTTGATATATAACTTCGACACACTGACAACTTAATTTGTCAGAATGCTCACGGCCACGCAGACTCTGGCGCCGGCAGTGCTCTCCCGGAGCCATGGCGCCCCTTCTTCCTTCTCCAGCCAGCCGCGCCGCACCGCCGCCGCCGCCTCGAGAGTAAGCTGCACCCGCGTCGGCGCCTTGTCGGAGGTCGTCAATGGCGAACTCGTCGTCGGCGACCAAGAACAGACGACCGACGACCTCCTTACGCGGCACAAGAATGTCGTCGCCGACTACACGCTGAGCGCCACGGTGACGGTGAGCTTGAAGCAGGACGATTCCACTCCCCAGAAGGTGGCGGACATGGTTAATCGAGACTGGCTTTTCCTTGATTTCTTCAGCTCGCATATAGGTGATGACAAGCTCCATAGCTACTCTATCGATCGTACCGGCCGCCTCTTTCGCGCCATATATAATCTTGAACATGGGCACTGATTCCCATTCGAAAAAATATCTTAATTTGAGAGGATGCTTTCTACTGGTAGCTAGCATTCTACTACTAGAATTATCGTATTAAAAGTGATCGCAGCCGTTCGATTTACTAGCTAGCTCGAATGATAGCATATATTGTAAGTGTAAATTTTGATACATTTTGATATATAACTTCGACATTAGGAAAAAAACTACATTAAAAATTTTGGTACCTAAAAAACTATAAAATTTCTACTATTATCAGTAAAAATATTTTTTGCTTACCATTAGTAGATTAGATTGTATATAAGATATACTACCTCTGTTTTTTAATAGATGACGCCGTTGACTTTTTCTCACATGTTTGACCATTCGTCTTATTAAAAAATTATATAATTATAATTTAGTTTGTTATGAATTGTTTTATCACTCATAGTACTTTAAGTGTGATTTATATCTTATACATTTACATAAAATTTTTGAATAAGACGAATGGTCAAACATGGGAGAAAAAGTCAACGGCGTCATCTATTAAAAAACGGAGAGAGTATATGATTCATCGGAATTAAAAAATAGACGGTATAACACATTGTAAAACACCTATTTTCGTCACTCTACAGAGGGGATGCACACGGAGCCTCAGCTCGCCAGGTACTCGCACATGGATGGCAAAGGCTCCTTCATATACGAGGCCAGCTTCAGCATCCCGTCCTCGTTGGACGCCGTCGGCGCCGTGCAGGTCGTGAACCGCTACAGCAGCGAGGTGTACATCTCGGACATCGACGTCCACCTCTGCGGCGGCCGCCATCAGTGGACCGACATCACTTTCCACTGCAACTCTTGGATCGACTACAACCCCAACGACCAGCGCTTCTTCTTCCCTCTCAAGGTCAGGGGTTCACGTTATTGCCGATACCGATATTGTTTTATTCGTGAGGATGGTAAAATTAGCTATCGGCCAAAAATTCCTTTTTTTTTTGAATTAGCTCATATGTAAAATAAAATTAAAACCTGCAAACCATCGAAAAGGGTGGAGGATTATATTTGCTTAATTAGGGCAGTCCCAACCCATAACACTAGACATGGTTTATATAACACTAGACATCATCAAGAAACTAGTACTACACACTACTCTTCCAATGCAAATACCACTATTCCATACTTCAGTTAAATGCTACTTATCTCACATGATGTCTTAGATGTTGTGTAGAAACCATGTCTCATGCAAGACATGGTTTCCTTCTCTTTCTTTATTTATTCACTTGTCACATTATATTTTTGTCCTAGGTGGCAACTTATTTAATGCTATGGACACCATTCTAGTTATTGGGTTGGGAATGCCCTTAAGGGTGTGTTTGATTGGGTGGCTGAAGCTGCATGGGAGTTGGGGATAAGGCAGCCATCTCTCACTAGATTGGATGAGTGGATGAGGAGAACACCATGTGGGTGATGTTGCTGATTGGCTGTGATAGGTTTAACTTGATGTTAACAATCTCAAACTGATTTTTTTTTCTAAACTGATTATCCTATTTATAATCCGATTATATGATTATATTTATATTATAGTTAATCTTCAAAACAAAATTTCACATGGTTATACGAATGGGTGCCACTGACTTATTGCGTCCATGCTATATCCTCCAGCCTATGGATATATCAAACAAAACATAGATGGGTTATCCCATCCCCATCCACTTATGACCGTGAACTAAACGCGCCCTAATCTCCATTTCCGCTCGATCGATCGTTGTTCAGCTGCAAATCATTCACACTGCTTGTTATTTGCTTGCATGCACGATATTGCAGTCGTACCTCCCGTCTCAGACGCCCAGGGGCGTGAAGAATCTGCGCAAGGAAGAGCTCAGGGCCATCCGCGGCGATGGCCGCGGCGAGCGCAAGGAGTGGGAGCGCATCTACGACTACGACGTCTACAACGACCTCGGCGACCCCGACAATGACCCGGCCACTCGTCGGCCGGTGCTCGGCGGCCGCGGGCGCCCCTACCCGCGCCGCTGCCGCACGGGCCGCCGCCGCTGCAGGACAGACCCGTCGTCGGAGTCGCCGCCGGCCAAGGACGGCGCCGGGATCTACGTGCCACGGGACGAGGCGTTCACGGAGCGGAAGGCCGGCGCGTTCGCCACCAAGAAGGCGCTGTCGGCGCTGTCGGCGTTCACCACGGCGCAGAGGGTGTCCGGCGACCGGCGGCGGGGCTTCCCGTCGCTGGCGGCCATCGACGCGCTGTACGAGGACGGGTACAAGAACCGGCCGTCGTCGTCGCAGCAGGAGGCGGACAACCTCGAAGGCTACTTCAGGGAGGTGCTCCAGAAGCAGGTGAAGCTGCTGCTCAAGGGCGAGAAGGAGGAGTTCAAGGAGGAGCTACGCAAAGTGTTCAAATTCCAAACGCCCGAGATTCACGACAGTAAATTACTACTACTATATATTATTCTACGTTATAGCAAATACTCTCCGTTCTAAGATATAAGAATCTAGAATTGGATAGAACATTTTTAGTACTATAAATTTGGACAGGCTGCCTGTCTAGATTTATAGCTCTAGATATCCAATCCGATCCTAGGTTTTATATTTTAGGACAGATGAGTATATACCAGCTTAATAATTATGAGCTCAAATTAATCGCAGAGGACAAGCTTGCATGGTTCAGAGACGAGGAGTTCGCGCGGCAAACGCTGGCAGGGATGAACCCTCTCAGCATCCAACTTGTCAGGGACACGGCACGTTCCTCATCCTGTCGATCGTTAATTCATTGACTAATTGTCTTTTTTTAATCCAAATCGATTAGTAATATTCAATTTCCTCATCAAATAATTGCTCAACACCAACATGAAACGTATGTACGTGCAGGACTTCCCTATATTCAGCAAGCTGGACGAGGAAACCTACGGCCCAGGGGACTCCCTCATCACCAAAGAGCTGATTGAAGAGCAGATTAATGGGGTCATGACAGCAGAGGAGGTGAATTAAAAGGCACATAAAAAAAGAGAATATATATATATATATACACACATATATATATTTAACTTGCTTTTAAAAGATAGAGAATACACTGTACAGGCCGTGGAGAAGAAGAAGCTGTTCATGCTGGACTACCACGACGTGCTCCTGCCGTTCGTGCACGCGGTGCGCGAGCTGGACGACACCACGCTGTACGCCTCGCGGACGCTCTTCTTCCTGACGGAGGACGGCACGCTGAGGCCGATCGCCATCGAGCTGACGAGGCCCAAGTCCCCCAACACGCCGCAGTGGCGCCAGGTCTTCACGCCGGGCTCCAGCGTCGCGGCGTCCTGGCTGTGGCAGCTCGCCAAAACGCACGTCCTCGCCCACGACACCGGCTACCACCAGCTCGTCAGCCACTGGTAATTTACGAGAAATTTTACCGTCCTTGAGAGATACTAAGACGTATAAAAAATAAACTGCACGTTTTCCGTATCTTCTAGTACCAATGGTAACGGGAGATACCATATTTTACTTTAAAAACAAACTGTATACCTCCTTAAATACTGTAAAATCACTCTTAGTAGTTGACTATTAATTTCATCATCTGTTGATTGCACTTGCATTGCTGCGAATCATGTTTGGGTGTTCAGGCTGAGGACGCACTGCTGCGTGGAGCCGTACGTGATCGCGGCGAACCGGCGGCTGAGCCAGATGCACCCCATCTACCGACTGCTGCACCCGCACTTCCGCTTCACCATGGAGATCAACGCCCAAGCGCGCGGGATGCTCATCAACGCCAATGGAATCATCGAGAGCGCCTTCGCGCCGGGGAAGCTCTGCATGGAGCTCAGCTCGGCGGTTTACGACAAGTTTTGGAGGTTCGACATGGAGGCTCTGCCCGCCGATCTCATCCGGAGGTAATAACCAACAGCTGATCGATGTAATTTGTTCCTTCCTATATAAATATAGGATTGATGTATATAAGATGGTTTTTTGTTGGACATTGATAAAGGGGCATGGCGATCGAATGCGAGGATGGCAAGCTGGAGCTGACGATAGAGGACTACCCGTACGCCAACGACGGCCTGCTCATCTGGGACTCCATCAAGGAGTGGGTGTCGGATTATGTGAACCATTACTACCAGTTGGCTTCAGACATCCACATGGACAAGGAGCTCCAGGGTTGGTGGAACGAGGTGCGAACCAAGGGCCACCCGGACAAGGAGGAAGGGTGGCCAGAGCTGAACTGCCACGGGAGCCTCGTCGAGGTTCTGACCACCATCATCTGGGTCGCGTCGGGGCACCATGCGGCGGTGAACTTTGGCCAGTACCCCTACGCCGGCTACTTCCCCAATCGCCCCACCATCGCCCGGCGGAACATGCCGACGGAGGGGCAGGCGTGCAGTCACGACGGCATGCAGCCAACGTTCGTTGAGGATCCCGTCAGGGTGCTACTAGACACGTTCCCATCGCAGTACCAGACCACCCTCGTCCTGCCGGTGCTCAACCTGCTATCGTCACACTCGCCCGGCGAGGAGTACATGGGCACGCATGCGGAGTCAGCGTGGATGGCGGACAGGGAGGTCAGGGCGGCGTTCGGGAGGTTCAACGAGAGGATGATGAGCATCGCGGAGATGATCGACTGCCGGAACAAGGATCCGGAGCGAAAGAACCGGCAGGGCCCCGGCGTGGTGCCGTACGTGCTGCTCAAGCCGTCCTACGGTGACCCTAAGGACATGACGTCCGTGATGGAGATGGGTATCCCCAACAGCATCTCAATTTGAGTTGTGCCAATGAGCTTGCATCTGTTTGGCGTGCTCATCGTGACATTATGTATGAAATAAAATGGATTAAAAATCCGGCCTCGTCAAGGAATGGCTAACACAGCGAGCCTGCATCTGTTTGGAGTGCTCATCGTGCGATTATGAAATAAAATGACCTGGCATCTGTTTGCCACTGTTTTCTTGTAACTACTGCACTGTAGTAAGTACAGGACACCGTATATACATAACGCCCTGCATTATTTCCTTGTCGGTATAGATGGCTATCGATCACAGTGTAGCGTGCTAGTACTACAGAAAGGTCATTCCTATTATACAACCCCTATGCTACGTATGTAGCACAGAGGGGTTGCATGATGTTTACAATAAAGTAGAGACAAGATATGAAGGTGTGGCATCTTTTCATTCATTCTCTTCTCATTCACCAATACAATTCTCCTCTCTACTCCTCTATTTATAGTCGTTTCATTTTCCATCTTCCATGTTTAGTAATAGGCCCAATTAATGTGGGTAACCAGGCCGGGCTTTCATGGGCCAGCAGTTTCCAAACACTCCCCCTTGAGCTCTCATTGCGTGATGCCTATGCCTCATCAAAACTCCAAAAAACTCAGTGGAAAAAATTTGGAGAAAGAGTAAGCATATGCTATGCGTGTGAATTGTCTCATTAAAAACCTTGATAAAAAATTGATGCGAAAACTTATCCAAGGGAAAAAGAGTACAATCCACCCAATTCTTCATTCAATCTTTCTAGAATGATTTTTTGGTACTTGATTTTCTATATCAAGATTCTGGAATGAGTCAGCCTAATTCTCTTCCTGAATTTTGCATTTATCTAAGTCTCATTATTCCGAATTCTCGGACACATCTATTCAAGAGAAGATGTTAATATTGAGTTTATGGACAAATCAGCAAGACTTTCACATAACTTAGTTTGTTGCTTCTATGCAATTCATGTACATAGAAGAGCTTAGGGTTTATGTGCTTAGTGAGTTTGCTTCTCACCTAACTCATTTGCATATGTCTGATATATGCTGTTTCAATTTCATAAATGGTGGGGGTTGAGATAGTTTTCAAATCGTGATTGCTGTCGCAGTTTACTATCTCTCAAAACCATGCTGGACCTTTGGATAGTTCAATGATGATTCATTCGGTTTAGTGCAATTTTCACCAAGTATTTGAGCGCTGCTATCACACACTTGTGTTTGGGAATACTGTCCCAACTTTAGTGATAATCGACTATTCCAAAGCCATGCACAATGAATATTTCTAAGTGTGATTAGGCTGATGTACTAGACTTCCATTTGTCGCATGCCTTTAGCTGCAAGCATAAGCATGATTTGGATTCGGCCAAATATTTCAAATCAAACTCAAATTCAAAACGAACGAGTTTGTTTCTTCAATTCTTTCCTGGTTTATTCTATTCTCTCTATGTTGGTTCGGAACCTATTAATTCTTCATGTACTATTATGCAAGTATCCAATCTAAGCTCCTAAAATGCATTTATTGATTCTATCTTCAATGCTTATCAATATTTAGGTTGAGTTCTTCTTTTCAACTTCTAGTTCATTAATTCCATTCAACTCCTGGCTGACTGCAATGAGTTTTGTTGTCCAAAAAAAACATTGCCCATAATAGATCTCATTGCCAACTTCTATTTGTTGTATGAGGCTATATATGAGTATCCATGGATAAACAAGGAAAGGCATTTTTCGTATGCTAATTATTTATGCTTAATGCTTTTGACATGGGCATGCACAAGCGTTAGTGTGCACTCCAACTGCTGGTTTTCTTCCTTGATGTGAAGATGTGGCACACCTATTATGAGGTTATGTACCATTTGCCAAGTCTCAACTGGCTCCCCTTCTTCGGTGGGGTATATTTCGTGACTTTGAGTATGATAGTCCCTCTTGCCCAATTTTCTTTTTTTTTACCGGACTCTTGCCCCATTTTCGCCAGACGTTTCTGGTTACTTTGGGGGCGTGAGGAGCCGGAGTTCCTGTCCTACTGTTTTTTACTCACGGCCTCTGGACAAGTTGAGGGATTCCTTTAATTTCTTCAGTATTTCACCCTACTCCGATGCATTTCATTCATGCAACTTAATCAAACTCTTCGAAATCACGAAAGTATTTACAAAGTGATTTAGCAGTTTCAATTTTTCATGCATACTTTCATTACTTAGTTTGCATTCACTAGTGCGGCGTAACATGTGTTAGTCCTTTCCAACTATCATGTTTCCTAACATTTTCTATTTAAGGGTTCATTTTCTCCCCCTAAATGACTGGAAATAATTCTTACTTTGCCAAGGAATTTAGGCTTCATAAGTACCTCCGTTCGAAGTTCCTGACTTTCGGAAAGAACATTTTACAATGCATTATGATAATGGGATATGCACATAAACCAAGTAGATGCAAATAGCACTAGTTGTAGGGTGGATGTTCATGCCAATGGTCTGAATTTTCTTTTGGAGTCCGTTGCTTTGAGGACTACATATCCTTTTCTACCGCGGGTATTACAACAATGACATAGCAAATATTGCAATTCATAGCCTGTACTTAGTCCATTCGTGCAGATATTTGGTACTTCGTGCTGCCAGTTCACCAATCATCAAATACAATGCTAGCATTGTCCTCGCGGACTTCTAAATATGATTTAGTGAATTTCTTTCAAATTTATGTGATCTTGCTAGATCAATTTTGGCAAAGACATGGTGTTAAAGGGACACTGGGTGTTCGCTACTTTAGAAGCGCATCTATCCATATAGTACCAAATGGGACCGCAAATATTCCTTGTAATATAGTTCAGGGATGCTAAAATTATACCTTCATGGTATGCGGTCTATGCATTATGCTCCTGTTGGTGCACACTGGCGCACAAGTCTTCACGCTTTAGGAAAATTACGCATATATGTGTTATGACCGTACGAGTTGTAATCTTTATTTTTATAATTCTAAGACTGAAATGGCTGAAATCCGTTACTAAAAGGTGTAGCCTAAATCATCACACTTTTAGAGAGTTTCAAAGGGGTTAATGGTACAATAAATGCTTCTATAAGGGGCATATTTGTTCCATAGGTAATATGGCCGTAGCGTTTTCAAGGCCAACAAATTCAGTTGCTACTGCTAGCAAAGGTCATAATATTTCCAGTTCTATGCCTCTGGAAATACTTGTCTTAAAGTGGTTATGCGGTCCACAATTCATTCTTTTTCTTTTATGTTTGGACGGTAGACAAAATTCAAAGCATTATAATCATGTGCTAGGAAATAGCAACAAAATAATAAAATGACTTAAATATGCTAATTTATACTGGAAATAATTCAATTCTTTATTGCAGGGAAAATGTGTACTCTACTTTGGCAAAAAGCATTTATTCAATTCAATATTCTATTCAAAAATTTCAACAATTGATGACGAAGTATGTTGATTCAACGAAGTATTCTAGTACGTCGGATTCAATTAACTTCATAGCGAACTTCTTGCAAGAACTATGGCAATGCTTTTCTATGCCAACATAAATTCCAGGGTTGATCTGGTTTAGCGTAGGAGATTCTATGTCCATAGCCATGAAAATAGGCGAGGAGTTCTCCCACTCAATTCATGATGGGTGTGCTTTTAGGATCATCCTTTTTCTTTTCGTGTTTATAGTTCTGAATTGTTCACCTTGACCTGTGTTCTACTCCCCCTTTTCCTCTTCTTTTGTTGAGGTAGAGTACTATGTTAGCTGCTCGTGTTGATTTCATTATTAACGGTGCTAGCTGGTTTTATGAGACAATGCTCTTCTAGTGAACACTATTCTAAACATTACGCAATTTCATTATCAAATAGTTAGTCATACTTCTTATATGCGCACCAGTAATGCTTGCCTGTGAATTTCGTCGTGTTCGGATAGAATTATTCAAGATTTTTCTACAGTATATGGTAAAAATTTGGTGCACCGAATTACCGTACTCTTTGGATCATTTGCCCAGTGAATCATAGTCTAAAAATACCCATTTTGCTCATATTTCTTGTTCTATGATTGGTTGGGTTTTACCATGGGTTTTTAAACCGCTTCTTCCGTGCAGTTTGAAACGTGTCAACACGCTCATACATCTAGCATACTCATTCATCAGAGTAGCTTGGAGACACTTACGGGAGATAAAAATGCTTGACCATTCTAGTCGAGTTAGTGAATAGAGCGTTTGGTTTAATGGTACCGTAGAGCTTCTTGCTCTATTGTAATTTGCACATTGAATAAATATGTCACAGATATTCTAAATTCAATGAATTTTTAATTCGCGATGCTAGTCATCTTTCGTTATTCAAACATATGTGCAAATTAAATGCACATAAAATGCACAAGTTTGCAATATAATGGTACACGAAATTCCCGCAAATAGTTCTAATATATTCTATGCTATTCTATACATTTTACAGCAAAGATATTAATTAAAAGTAATAAAGTACTCCCTTCGTTTAGTTTTATTTGACGTTTCCGACAGCTTCGTAGAAATTAAGGAAGCTGTGAACTGACGCTTTTGCCCTTCCTCTTCTACGCGTGACGGCAGCAGCGCCCCATCCTGCTTCTCCGAGCGCCGCGGCAGGCTCTTCCCCCACCTCCCCAGCCGCGGCTTCCCCTTCCCACGGGCAGCGGCGCCGGCGTCCTGTTTCCCCCCGCCGGTGAGCGCTCACACGTATGCACATACTCCCTTCTCATTCCCCTCTTCCTACACCTTCTCTGGCCTCCCTCCTGTCTCTTCGCGAGCCCGCCCCCACCACCGCCGCTGAGCAGCGCGCCGTCCCCATCCACCCCGCGTGCAGCGGCGCCAGCACCCTGCTTCTCCCTGTAGGCGAGCACACACGTATGCACAAACTCATGCCTCTTCATGTTATAGCGAATCAAGTCTTCAGATTAGTGCTCCTGTCTTTTCATGTTATCTGCTGCAAATTTGTAGCCGAATTGTAGCTGGCAATTGAAGCTTACTTCTGTTGATGAACTCTTGGTAATCTTTGATGTAAGATTTCAGTGGGATCACTGTTCAAAGAATATCAGTCCAACTGAAGTGTTCTGTCCAAACTTTTTTCAAGTTATGTTCTTTTCTGATGGTTTTACTCTGTTTTGGCTGTTATACAATTTTGATTGTACTACTACAGAAGCTATGTGCACTGAAGTCTGAAGGACTTACTTATGTAGTTATATTGCAGATTTCAGTTGCTAATATCCTACTGTTTTTGTTGTTTCAGCTGTCTCTTCTCTGAACATGCTGGAATTTTTGATAGCATCCTAACCTGATAGTATATTCAGACATTTCAAGCTTGTTACGATTCATAGCATAGACTTTGATCTCAATGCTGTTGAAAAGGAGCAGCTGTATCTGATAAGAGTTTCACAAAAACAAAGCATATAGAAATTTGAGTAGAAGGATGAACGTT